TCAGACAGAAAGCCACCCCTTTCTTTGCCGTGAGAGTCGTAACAGGAGACTGTGGGATTTATGGTTGGGAACAAGGGATGGCCAGCATAAAAACTCCAAAAACTAGAAACCTCTAAAACATCTCCAAAGTCCAACTGCGGTTACTAACCTGCCTGCCACGCGTGGCGACTACTGGGAAACCCCCAAGGGGGAGACTTATGTTCAACAGTGGACAGTTAAACGCCGATATGTACCTTCAAACTAAGCAGAGCACACGAGTGGGACAGAGGTATCCATGCAGATGACTTGTACAGTGTACCCTTTTCACTACTTTACAGGTGTGACATTCTGCGTTGGATGAAGATCATAATGCCATCACCAGTTTATAGGGACCATTGGGATATGGTGTGGTATGGAACTTGTATTTATTCCCTGATTAAACTTTGAAGGGTTCCGGCTTCGTTTTTTTAATGGATGAAATTGGAATAGTAACCTCGCCTGCGCTAACGGTATGCGCTGGCGGGGTACCAGTGAGGGATGTTAGGCGAGATAAAAGCAGGTAAGTTAGCCTATCGTGACAAATTCCACAAGAATTACTCAAGATGGTTTCCAGGGGGAACCGCGTGGAGATCGACCTGACAGGGTATATTGCTAGCAATGGTGCTTTTAGATCTCCATTACTAACTATCGCTTTCAGACAGAATTTTGGACAATCAATACATATAATAAAAAAGTAAAGTTTCGGCCAATTCAACTGATCGGTTATTTTATAGCATTTCATATGTGATTCTTTAGACTGCTATAACTTTTTTATTTATGATCCGATTGAAATACTAAATAACTACACTAAATGTTACGTGGAGTAAACCGCAACGCAATGATAAAAACCGCATTAAAATCGGTTAACCTGTGTCTGAGATTAGCGTGCAAAAACGTACAACAAAAACAAAAATTCTAAATATCATTGTTTAGGGTTGTACTGCGTTCATAAAGCCCCCTTTAAAGAAAAACTATCATAGGAGGGATCCTATGATAGTTTTTCTTATATATCTTCCATGTACAGACAGCGACCAGTTACGATTTTACTATACTTATGTATGTATTGATTGATTGACATACTGTTGTATTAAATTTGTGTATTTATTTATTTTATTTAAATAAAAAAAAATAACAACCGAACCGAACCCCCTTTTCGAAGTCGGTTTAAAGGACAATTTATGGGTGTAATGTTGTTAATAGAGAAATGTCACGGTACAAAGAATGGGTTTTAAATGTCAGCCAGCCAATTAACTTCGGGTGCAAGCGAACCATGAATATTTGAATAGAGTCGTAACAAACTGGCTTGGTACATTACATTTTCAATCGACTACAAAAAGGAGAGAGGAAGGGATTGTTAGTAATGGGGAGGTGAGTCCCTATTGCTATCAATATATCCTACCAGGTCGACCTCCACACGGTACACCTGGAAACTATCGTGACTAACTTATCGTTGAATGAGTCACGATGGGCTAACTGACCTGCCTTTTCATCCTCACCTATCATCCCTCACTGGTACCCCGCCGGTGTATACCGATAGCGCAGGCGGGGTTACCATTTTATTATCATCCATTAAAAAAAAATACTCCAAAAAGTTCTCGATTCTGAAAGGATTTACTTACAGATTGGTTCCATAGAAGTTTTATCAAAATCGGTTCAGAACTTTAGTAAATTGTTCAGACACATATACATGGGGTCAACAGTCAGTCAGCTCTGTTTAGGGGGAAGGGATTGTTAGTAATGGGGTCTAACAGCCCCATTGCTAGCAATATACCCTAACAGGTCGAACTCCAAGGGGTTTTCCCTTGAAAATCACCGTGTTTCATTATCCTCACCTATCATCCCTCACTGGTGCCTCGCCAGCGTATACCGATAGCGCAGGCGGGGTTACCATTCCATCATCCATTAAAAAAGCACGATTGTTTATCAAGCTTTCTTGTATTTTTTTTTTAGGTACCATAAACCCGACTTCCCCAAGGTCATGTTCGCACGCGTGCCCAAACCCGAATCCGAAGTCCACATACCCCATTATAAAACCATAAAAGAGGTCTGCAGGGAATACTTGGTGAGACTTCTCTTTCTAATACATCATTTTTGTTTAATAAATGATAATGGAATGGTAACCCCGCCTGTACTAACGGTATATACGCTGACGGGGCACCAGTGAAGGATGATAGGTGAGGATGAAGCAGGCCAGTTAGCCCATCGTGACGAATTCAACAAGAATTGTTCACAATGGTTTCCAGGGGGGACTACGTGGAGGTCGACCTGGTTGGGTATATTGGTAACAATAGGGCCATTAGTCTCCATTGTTAACAATCCCCCCCCCCCCCTAATATATCATTGGATGGGACAAGAATTGTAAGTAATGGGGTCTAAACAGACGTGGTCATCGTATATATTTTTTTATGCAACTTAGAATGGCAAATAAGCTGACGTCCACCTGATGGAAAGTGATAACCGTCGCCTATAGACATGACCAGTACCATGGACATAATAGAGTATACTGTTTCGCCAATGATACTCCCATACGTTGCCATTCCTGAGGACTCAGGTATTATATTCTCTGTACCCTGTAAATTCACTGCTATATCCCACCCTTCAAACCGAAACACAGCCTTGCAAATACAACTGCTTTACGGTTGAAACACGAATAGGATAGAGGCGCCCAAGCAAACGACTTTTGTACAAAGTCTCCCTCTGGTAATGATAATGGAATGCTAACTCTGCCTGCGTTAACAGTATACACTGGCGGAGCATTAGTGAGTGATGATAGGTGAGGATGAAAGGGCAGGTCAAGTAGCCCATCATGATGAATATACCTGGATGTCAGCAGGATGGTTTCCACATGGAGATCGATTAGACAATATATCTTATATTCCTATATTTATTTATTGGAAACCAACGGTGTTACAGTTAAGATTTACATACATACATATCTGTCACGCCTGTCTCCCATTAGGGTAGGCAGAAACAATGGAACGCCAAATGCTTCGATTCAAACAAACCTCTTTCGCTTCTTCCACATTCATCAATCTTTTCATACACGCTCGCCGGTTACGGGTACTTTTAATTTGGCCCTTCTTCAGCGCGTCGCCTACTTGGTCAACATACGTCCGTCTAGGGCGGCCCCTACCGACATCTCCATACATACTAGTATTTAAAATATTAAGGCTAATAACAGGTTTCTTATTATTCTAAAAGTACGAAATTGGTTTGCGCGAAAAAAGGAAAGGTACAATGCGGATATGCGATCACAAGACATTCAAATACAAATGTTTACCATTGCATGTATATTACAATATATTCGGTACTGCTATATTTATTTTATACATTTAAAAATCTAACAGAGTTTGCATGAACACACTGTTTCTTGTTACCATTACCAGGCACCTAGAAAATTTCGGATTCAAACTGGTATACCAGAGACGGAACAGACGATATGGATGGAACACCGTACCAGCTCGCTCTCCATAGAATCTTCGAGAAGACGAGAGAAGAGAAAAGAAGAGGGGAAGAAACAGAAGTTGCCACCTCCCAAACAGTGTAGCCTAATGCCGAAGAAGATAGACTTGTCAGGTTTGGTTGGGAAGGACCTGATTTTGGCTAGAAGAAAGATGGCTAAGCCGAAATTTTTGGCTTAATTCTGACAATATTATATCAGATAATATAGTATTTGTGGTTTCCTTTTTATTGAATAGTTATTGATTTGTTTTTGCAAGCTTTTAACTTCAGTATGGGTACCCTTGTCCTATATGTCTGTGTCGTCAGTTGTTTGTAAGGCGTTTTTTGCTAAGTGATAATGGTATAGTAACCTCGCCTGCGCTATCGGTATACACTGATGGGTAGGCATGAGTAATATGGATACCGATCCGATATCTATATATTGGGAACATTGATAGCGGAAAGAAGGTCATCACCTACTTCGATGTCTCCCATATCAGTCGGATATCTAGTTTCGAATATGTTAAAAGTCTTTTATCCAATATTAATTTTTGAATAACAGTCTTTTAACATTTTTTTATACAACTTAGAATGGCAAATAAGCTGACGGCCCACCTAATGAAAAGTGGTAACCGTCGCCTATAGACATGAGCAGTACCATGGACATAACAGAGTGTACTGTTTCGCCCATGATACCCCCCATGCGTTTGTCATTTCTGAGGATTAAGATGTTCTACCTCTGTACCCTGTAAAGCCACTGCCATATCCCACCCTTCAAACCGAAACACAGCCATGCAAACACAACTGCTTCACGGTAGAAACACGAATGAGACAAAGGTATCCAAGCAAACGACTTTTATACAAAGTCTCCCTCTGGTATAATATATTCGTTATTAGACCAGTATCTAGATATTGCTATATATTATATTACCCATCACTACTGACGGGGCACCAACGAGAGATGATCGGTGAGGATGGAAGCAGGTTAGTCGACACTTGATATTTAATAAGTTCCTCCGTATTATATTTTATTACATCCACATTTTTGCCCGTGTGATCCCAGCACAGAATGGGCCACCCCTTCCATTCCCGCAGGTGTCGTAAGAGGCGACTTAAGGAACTTAATAGTCGAGGCAGTAACGTTCCTTAAACCATCAAAGTCTAACTGCGCTTGCCAACCTGCCGCCAAACCGCCTGCGCTATTAATATACGCTGGCGGGGTACCAGTAAGGGATAATAAATGAGGATAAAAGCAGGCCAGTTAGGCCATCGTGAAGAATTCCACGAGAACCACGGTGGTTTCCAGACAGAACCCTGTGAAGGTCGACCTGATTAGTAACATTACTAGCAATGGAGCTGTTATACCCCATTGCTAAAAATCCCTGTTCCCCCCCTCTTCAACTAAGTGCATAAAGTCCTCGAATACATTGCAGGGAGGCAGTGGATGCAGGTGGCTGAGGACTGTTCCTTATGGCAGTCTATGGGAGAGGCTTATGTCCAGCAGTGGACGGATAATGGCTGAAAGAATGATGACGACTCACCTGAACAGCAATTATGATGGTGTCATTCTGTACAGGGCCGAATATGTCCTCGTTGTGTATTATTTGTGCATCGTTGTACCTCTCTATCAGTTTCCTTATTTCCGTTACATTCTTCGGCCCTGCCTTTTCCGTTGAGTTTGCTAGAACACAAAGAGGAGGCTTAAGCAAGTCCATTGGCGTGAATTTACATGGTACAGAGGACTAACACCCGAGTCCTCAGGAATGGCAACACATGGGGGTATCATGGGCGAAACAGTATACTCTGTTATGTCCACGGTACTGCTCATGTCTATAGGCGACGGTTACCACTTTCCATCAGGTGGGCCGTCAGCTTGTTTGTCATTCTACTACTATTGGGCAGAAAACCTGCAATGTCTCTAGTATTGCGGGTGATCATGGGCGGCGGTAATCACTTACCATCAGGTAAGCCGCATGCTCGATTGCCCCGTGTTATAAAAAATAAAATAAAAAAAAACTTACCACTTATATTTTTGGGATGCACCGTCAGATACTTATGAAGTTCAGGCGGCACCAAAGCGAGGACCTGTTCCGACGTTTCGTTGGCGTTCATCAGCTCTTCTGTAATAAAAAAAAATAGTTTACAAATTATTGACGCTAGATGGCGTTGTCACTATTAATGATAATGAAACGATATTATGTTTATTAGGCGGCTTTATACTTTACAGTGTCACGTCGATCATGCGATCGTCCGATATCATGGCGTGTCCTATTAAGTCGTGACGGTAAAATCGTGCGATATCGTGTCGTGTCTTATTATTTCATGAAAGTAAATTCGTGTGATATCGTGTCGTGGCCTATTCTGTCGTGGCGATAAAATCGTGTGATATCGTGTCGTGCCCTGTTATTTCGTGACAGTAAATTCGTGTCATATCGTGTTGTGTGCTATTATATCGTAATGGTAAAATCGTGTGATATCGTGTCATGTCCTATTATGTCGTGACGGTAAAATTGTGTGATATCGTGTGGTGTCCTATTATTTCGTGACAGAAATTCGTGTGATATCGTGTCGTGTACTATAATGTCGTGACGGTAAAAGTGTCCGAGATATCGTGTCTGTCCTGTTATTTCATGAAAGCAAATTCGTGTGATATCGTGTCGTGGCCTATTATGTCGTGGCGATAAAATCGTGTGATATCGTGTAGTGCCCTGTTATTTCGTGACAGTAAATTCGTGTCATATCGTGTTGTGTGGTATTATATCGTGATGGTAAAATCGTGTGATATCGTGTCATGTCCTATAATACCATGACGATACAATTGTCCAAAATCGTGTCGTATCTTATTATGTCGTGATGATAAAATCGTGTGATAAAGTGTCGTGTCCTATTATGTCGTGACAGTAAAATCGTGTAACAACGACAAATTATAGAAGCATTCATTATTATACGATACGTAATGATATGGTGTCACTTATACGCACAAAATGGTGATTCGGTTAGCTCGACAAGATGGTGCTTCGAATTCTAAATTTGAATGAATTATTCGACGTAGACAGAGGACGATGAGATTTTGCGAGACTTTACCATGTCACTTCCCCCATTACAAGCTTTTACACTCAAATAACGGTTAGCAATCAAACAACCCACTTTCACATAATAATAATAATATAATTTTATTCAAATAAAAATGCGGGTAGGTACATAGTGTACCTACCCGCATTTTTAGTTATCAGTGATTACACTAGGCTACTACTACACGTCACTGGGCTAGCGGGTGGGGAGGGGAGGAAATATTAATAATATGAATTGTTAACAATAAACCCTATCAGGTCGACCTCCACGTGGTCCCTCCTTGAAACCATCGTACTCAATCCCAGGTGTATACATCACGATGGGCCAACCGACCTACCTTTCCATCCTCACCTATCTTCCTAAGGGAGAGCAATTAAAAAATTGACTTGAAGCAATTTTAACCCTCTTTTGCTTCGGGCCATTTAAATGCAATGCTTCGAGTAGATATCGGTGCCAAATTTAACAAAAAAAAAGTAAATTAAAAAAAAAATGCTGTAAATATTTATTAGGTATAATTTCGTTCGACTTTACCAAAATATCAACTGGGCGATTAGAGTCGTCAAGTAAACTTTGTCGGGAAAAATTATGTAGTATGGGCGATTAAAAATTTTAGAAATGTTCAAGTGGGGCATGGCAAAAAAATAGCTTGGGAAACACTGAGTTAGAAGCTAGTCACGCTTGTCTCGTAAATTTATTAATATAATTTTTATTTTATAAATAAATAAATAATAAATTTATTTCCTTATACAAAGGTACTTAGTTACATTACAACATCCAGCAGCAGTATTTCCGAACCGACACGACAACATAACCTTCAAGAAAAGAGCATATTCCTTTTTAAAAGGCCGGCGGCACACCTGCAATGCCGCTGGTGTTGTGGGTGATCATGGCCAGCGGTAGTCACTTACCATCAGGTGAGCCGCGTGCTCGTTTGCCCCCTGTGTTGTAAACTCGGTTTGGTATCACCTTTTAAGCAAAGATTGCTCGTGTTAAGAGAAACCGCTCTTTTATAACAATAATTAAATTTCAAAATCATTACAATTTACTTTTCTTTTTTGTTATAAACAATTATTGTTTCTATGAATGAATGTATGAAAACTCTTTATCGTTCCTGTTGTGATGGTTGGATGGAAAAATAGACGAGAACTTTTAATATTTCCTGTATTTTATTCTAATACATATTCTAGACATGCGACGTGGCAAGTGACAGAGCAAATCAGAGAGCGAAATACAATATGGCGCGCGCCGAGTTATTCTCAGAGCGATAACAGATGGCGCTACGTGTCCCCTTTACATAAATATGATTATTAAATTTAACGTAATTAGAACAGTTCCCTTCAATGAATGATACAGTTTATAAAGATTAACAATATGTACACAAATATAATTAATAATTAATTACGTAAAAGCAAGATAAAGAGGCTACAATGGGCGGCCTTATCGCTAAACAGCGATCTCTTCCAGGTAACCTTATTTCTATATATTAATAAAAATGATAATAAATTGTCTTCAAATTCAATGTAAACTGCATATCTCTTTTCATATATGTAATTAATAGATCGCTATCAGTACTATGCGGCGTGGTCCCGGCATAGAACAGGTGGTCTACCATGAAATGAAATTCCGAAATTTCACGCTCAATTTCGTGTTTTTGTTCGTATCAAAATCGGCCCAGTAAATGGAGCTTAACATTTCGTTCATCATAAATCCTACCCTAATAGTCGAAAGGAACGATATTTTAACCTTTTTAATAATTTTAAACGGCATGTATTATGTAATTTTAACATCAAATTTCTGTTTCGTTCGTCCCCGAAATTTCGAAAAATACTTCACGGTAGGCCCTCTGGCCACCTCGTCCTGACGGATGGCCAATAATCATGAACTACGAACAAGGAATTACATAGAAGGAATGATAAAATAAAAACTGTAAACCATATGGTTGTCTCCTTTCTTAAATAAAATTAGGAAAAAGAGGACGAAAGATACACCACCAGTTGCTATTTTTCTCAATTCATAGCAGGCTAGTGTATAGACAATGTTTGACATGTCAATTATTTGTCAATGACAAATTTTACATTACTAGATTATATATTGGACACAGTTTATGTAGAAAGTATGCGAGCAGGTTGTATCTGAATTTGGTAGGGTTATACGGCCGTATAACATTTTCTATACACTACTCTGCTATGAATTACAACATAGTCTCCCTCTGGTAAAACTAAACTAAAGAGCGAACTAATAAATGCAATCGACTGGTTAGCCATCACTATTACAAAGCATACATTGTTTTTTTTTTATTTATTTTTATTGTTTTATATATTTTTATTTTGCAAAAGGTACTTTTTTAATTATACAGCACTATCATACCTACTTGTACAACAATTAGTCCATTACCATAAGGTTGTCTTGAAAAGATTGCTCTCAGCAATAAGACCGCCTTACTGTACTTATACAATTGTATCGTTGTGTTTGTAAATTGACTTGCTTATTTCCTGTATTTTATTTATTTATTTATTTAACTCTTTATTGCACCATAAATAAAAATATACAATGACAAGTGAATAATTCAAGTGAAATACAGTAACATAAATACAGATTGAAATATACACATAAAGGTACAAAAGGCGGTCTTATCGCTAGGGCGATCTCTTACAGACGACCTTTAGTTAAAGGAGAACAGATAGAAAATGGCAGGTGGCGCAAGAGTGAATTTATTTTATGTATCCTATATTGTATAATGCAAATAAAGTATACTCATTCATTCACTCATTGTTTATTTAAAATTTTTATTGGACATTACTGAGAAAAGGTTTTAATTTATAAATTTGTTATTTTTGTTATTTCGCCCACCAGTTAAATACGTAGTTAAAATTCTAGCAACGCACAATATCCAACGAGGTTCCTGGTACGCGTTTTCATTTGAATAAATAATAAACGATACAGACGTACAGAGGAATGTTAGTAGATACCAGTCATAAGTGTAAATAACAGTATTTTTTTTAACTGTCTTTGTAAAGGTTTTCAATTCCTTTGTATTTAAAAAAAAAATGTTTGTTTCCTCCAAACAAAGATCTCGGAATAGAATAGATGGAATGCATAATTCACATAGTGTGTTGCTCGTTGTATTTATGACATTGCCAATACGTTAGAGAGGGATGGACATATAAAAACGCATCTGCCATTTGACTAGTCCGTAAATGTAAAGTTAATTTAGATATGCCACTAGGTTTTAATGGCGGTATAACCCTACCAAATTTAGATACAACCTGCTCGCATACTTTGTACATAAACTGTGTCGAATATATAATCCAGTAATGTAATATTTGTCATTGACAAATTATTGACATAACGAACATTTTCTACACACTAGTTTGCTATGAATTAAGAAAAATAGCAACTGATGGTGTATCTTTCGTCCTGTTTTTACTAATTATATTTGCATAAGAAGAAAGGAGACAACTGTATGATTTATAGTTTTTATTGTATCACTCCTTCTATGTAATTCCTTGTTTTTAACCTCAAAATTACATCATTTATAAATCGACTTGTAAATTCATATCTTTTTCCTTTTTTATATTTTCAAATTTTTCTTTTTTTTTTCTTTTTTCCATTTCTTGTTTCTTTCAGATGTTCGGTAATCCCGGCATAGAATAAGCCGTCCCTTTCTTTTCCATGGGTGTCGTAAGACGCGACTAAGGGAACTCATAGTCTAGGGATGGATAGCAGTGTCCCTCTTAAAACACCACTAAAAATCTAACTGCGGTTGCCAACCCGCCTGCCAACCGTGACAACTACTGGCAAAACTCCCCCTCTGGGGAACAATTAACGACCTGATATGATCCAATGACCACATTCTACCAAGAGGAGTCAAGATTCTCCGAAAACGGCGTACGTGCATGAGACGAAACATGAAAGTTGATGAAAGCGAGAGCTGTATGTAAGGATAGGTCTTTAGCACTTTGCCCCCTCTGCTTACCCCGCAAGGGAAATGGCGTGAAAATATGATAGGTATATTACAAAAAAAAAAAACATTTAACACAATAATAAATAGTAACAAAAAAAAAAACAAAAGCGTAAACAAAACATAATGCTGGATTGAGTAGAATAAATAAAAAAAAAAGCAATAATAACTCTGCCAGTGTACATTTTTACTATAATCTAATATCTTAGATCGGTGTTTCCCAACGTGGGGCCCACGCCCCACAAGGGGACAATTTGATAGTTAAGGGACGGCAATTAAAAAATTGACTCGAAGCAATTTTAACTCTTTTGCTCCAGCCCATTTAAATGCAATGCTACGAGTAGATATCGGTGTCAAATTTAACAAAAAAAAGTAAATTCAAAAAATGCTGTCAACATTTATTAGGTAAAATTTCGTTTGACGTTACCAAAATAACAACTGGGCGATTAGAGTCGTCAAGTAAACTTTGTCGGGAAAAATTACTAATGGGGGCGTAAAAATTTTTGAAACGTTCAAGTGGGGCGTGGCACAGAAAAGGTTGGGAAACACTGTCTTAGATTACATAAATAGAGTCTCGAGCCTCAAAAACGGGTCAACTTTTTGTCAGCTAATTGTCAAATTAGCTGACTCGTTTCTCTTATCAGTGTTCTATATACTTACGCACACAATGTACCTTGACGTATTATTTAATAAATGAGTGTTTACACATTAAAAAAACGTGCAGAATTTACAAGACAAAATAAATATAGAAGTTATAAAGGAACTATTTATCACGCAAAATTGTATGAAAAAGTTGACACGTTTTTCTCGAAGCATTTGTATGGAGACAGTCTATCTATGTAATCTAAGAACAATATTTATACTATCGAATGTTACAAAAGCATATAAATAAATAAATAAAATTGAAGGTAAATCCAATTGTATAATATATCTACAATTTGCAGTCAATTCGAAACAATCCAGCATTAAGAGACAAAGACAAAACATTAAAAAAAAAAACAAAGAAAAAAGAAAAAAAAAAAAAAACCTTTATTCGAATTAATATTTTTTTCGTTATTGGCGGTATAACTGATTGCTAATTCAGGTTCTAGGTTAATGTCTGAAATGTAAAGTTAATTTAAAGTTTAATAGATAAAAAAAAAAACCTCTAAATTAGATAGTAGCGTTGTAAACTAGTAATATTTACAGCAGAAAAAATTAAAAAGAAAAAAAAAGCAAAAAAAAAACATACCTCCATCTCTGTATATCCCGCCATTCGACGCGGAGAGCATAATCTGTACCCACAGACAAAACAGTCCGAGTATGACCAAAACTCGAACCACAGACGCATATTTTAGCCGTGGCATCTCGTTCACACGATAGATGGCGTTGAACACATCTTTTAGTACCGTTTCAGAAAGTTGCAAGCATTTCGATACTGTTCCTTGACAACAGATGGCGCGATTTCAAAACTAACTTCTTGTTGAGAATTGTGCATATTTTATTTCTGAAGTAGCAATGTATTTAATACTGTCCTCAAATAATCAACTGTAGTATCATTTTATGCCTAATTGTAATTCGTGTGCAGACTCAAGTTTAGTACGGTAGATGGCGTTGTTTCATTTCTTGGTTTACAAAGCAGAATTTCGTCGTTGGAGTTCATTTGGTAATCTGAAACAATTAGAAAAAAAATTTAATGATCATTTATAACAAGCGTCATCCTTCTTCCTCACTGATAAGGATCCACCTTACTTCCTTATTAGTAAGGATGTAAAGATTAGAGATTTTTTTTTTATACAACTTAGAATGGCAAACAAGCTGACGGCCCACCTGATGTAAAGTGGTAACCGTCGCCTATAGACATGAGCAGTACCATGGACATAACAGAGTATACTGTTTCACCCATAATACCCCCCATGCGTTGCCATTCCTGAGGACTCGGGTGTTATTAATCTGTACCCAGTAAATTCACGTCATATCCCACCCTTCAAACCGAAACACAGCCATGCAAACACAACTGCTTCCCGGTTGAAACACGAATAGGACAGAGGTACCTAAGCAATCGACTTTTGCACAAAGTCTCCCTCTGGTAAAGAGATGTCTCGGTACAGAATTGGCGACGTCAATGAATAATTTATTTGTATAAACATAGGTACAAATACATTACATTTATAGAACGCTATGTTTTGCCATCATTGGGCTTCCAAATACATCATCAACATCATATCAGGCTTTAACTGTTCACTGCTGATCATAAGCCTTCTCCATAAGGGGAGTTTTGGCAATAGTTGCCACGTTTGGCAGGCGGGTTGGCAACCGCAGTTAGGCTTTTAGGGATATTTCAACAGGGACGCTACTACCTGTCCCTATCAATAATAATATTTTATTATTCAGACTACAATTTGGTCCATTTTGTTAGTAACAATTTTCTTACAAACTATGTTAGTAAAAATAAAAGCAATTAACCATTTAACTAAATCAATTCACTGAGATGCGACTCAGCCGACTAGAACAGCATCTGAATGGAATGCCCAATGATAGGTGAGTTATATTTCCCGCCTATTACTTTTAGAATGCTGTCGGTGCTTGTCCTAACCCTGTGTAGCGGGGGGAAAAGGATTGTTAGCAAGAGAGTTTGACAGCTCCATTGCTAGCAATATGCCCTATTAGGTCGACTTCCACGTGGTTCCGCCTGGAAACCACCGTGAACAATTCTTGTTGAATTCGTCACAATGGGCTGACCTGACCTGTTTCATCCTCACCTATCATCCTTCACTGATACCTCGCCAGTGTATACCGATAGCGCGGGTGCGGTTACCATTTAATTATCGCCAATAAAAAAAAAACCCTGTGTACTAATTCTGCAGTTCTCTTTCTCCTTATAACGTAGTAATCATCTACGCGAGATTGAGCAAACATGCTAGAGGCAGGGGGAAAAGAGATTGTTAGTAATGGAGACTAAAAATCCCATTGCTAGCAATAGGGGAACCGCGAGGAGGTCGACCTGGTTAGGTAACCAGGTCGACCTCCTCGCGGTTCCCCTGGAAACTATCATGGTTAATTCCCGATGAATTCATCATGATGGGCTAACTGGCCTGTTTTCATTCTAATCGATCACCCTTCACTGGTGCTCCGCCAGCGTATCCCGTTAGCGCAGGCGGGGTTACCATACCATTTTCATCTAATAAAGAAAACATGCTAAAAACTAAATAAAGTATAAATAAATAAATAAATACATTCGTCTCACGCAATCGGGAATATTTAAGCAACTGCGCAACAATCAACAAACAAGATACCACGCAATACGTTAGCTGCTGTCCCAATGGAACCGGTCATTCTTGTGGCCTTTGAAGGATGGCCGATTGAAACTATTCATTTGATTACAACTACTATAGAATACTTAATACATTCTAGAGGGGGAGGGGGGGGGGGGATATTTTTTTAATGGGTGATAATGGTATGGTAACCCCGTCTGCGCTATCGGGATACGCTGGCGGAGCACCAGTGAAGAATGATAGGTGAGGATGAAGCAGGTCAGTTAGCCCATCGTGACGAATTCAACGAGAATTGTTCACGATGGATTTCAGGGGGAATCCACGTGGAGATCGACCTAATAGGGGCATATTGCTAGCAACGGGGCTCTCAAACTCCATTGCTAATCCCCCCTGGGGGGAAAGACTGTAAAAATCCTACGACCCAACACGGTAGTAACAAAACGATCAGGGGGAAGGGATTGTTAGTAATGGGAAGGTTAATCCCCATAACTATCAATACACCCTGTCAGGTTGACCTCCATGCGGTTCTTCCTGGAAACTATCGTGACTAATTTATCGTTGAATTCGTCACGATGGGCCAACTGACCTGCCTTTTCATCCTCACCTATCACCTCTCACTTGTATCCCGCCAGTGTATACCAATAGCGCAGGCGGGGTTACCATTGCATTATCATCGATAAAAAAAACATTCTAGGGGCGGGGGGGGGAGTAGGTGGAGGAGGGGTGGAGGGAGTAGGAATATTAGTTATAGAGACAAAGGGCTCCAATGCTAACAATATATCCGACCTGGTCGACCTAAAACGTCCCTCTTAAAATATCTCCAAAACCTAACTGCGACCGCCAACCCACCTGCCAAACATGGCAACTACTGGCAAAACCCCATGGGAGAGGCTTATGTTCAGCAGTGGACAGTTAAAGGCTGATATGATGATACATACAAAAAAAAAATACAATCAAATTAAAAAATCTTCTTTTTTCAAGCCGGTTAAATACATAATACAAATTGTGTACACACCACGGCTTTGTATATAAGTACGTGCCATACCGAATTGTTGTTGTATGTTTGTCACACTTGCAATTAGATTTGCTCGAAGAATCTCCGCTGTGAAGGTTTTTGGCGTGTGGTTCAATTTATAAGCGATTAGCATCTATACGCGACTTCGATCACGTGACGGGGATAATCGCATTTTAATTGATTAATTTATTTATTTCTTATTGCATTCCATAATATAATTTGTAAATAACATTTCAATTATGCACCCTGTTGGGCATAGCAAGTACGAGAGAGGAGGACAACACTTTTTTCACTTTAGAAATAGTCTAAGAATCCGTTACAATATTATCCAGTCATTCAAATTGTATCACGATATGTACGTATTTTCTTATTATTATTATTCATTATTTAAGTATCGGTGTGTATCTATTCATATCGTAATTGTTATTAGTATTATATAGTTATTTAATATATTCTGTAGTTTATAATTGTTTATATTCATATTGTAAAATTAATTAATAAATAGTTTAATAATAAAATTGCAGCAATATCAGTTTTAGCTATGTCTTAAATCATTATCAATTCATAATTAGTTATTTATTTATAAATTACAAGATAAATTCGACAAATAGATAAACACTTTACATGAATCATCTATGTAACACGAAAATTTAAAGCTTAAATAAACGAGTTATATAATTATAAAAATCAAAACACAAAAGCTTAAATACGAAAATATGTTTTCACCAAGTGTGTCGCAGTGACCCAAATAGGCTGCAGCTCAGTGATAGTTTTGCTTAAAAGCAAAACACTGATTTTAGGCTGCGGTCTGAAGTAAGGCTACATCGACGCGTGCAATTAACCTAGAGTGTTCCTATTGACTAAATTAATTATATCTCATTATATATTCTTTATTGCACTTGTAAGTTGCATATAAAATAATGTATTTATAAATGTTGTGAGCAAGGGTGGACTTATCTCTGACAGAGATCTCTTCCAGACAACCCGATACAGTGAGAAAGCATGTCGTTAGCGGGCAGCTGAAGCGCTACAACTATTAATACATAAACAAATATACAGTTAAATAAAATATTAAAATATGGAATAAAATATTACATAAATACATACACTATAAATAAATATAATACCTATCTACTTATATAATAAATGTTAAAATAAATGAATATACTACTTACATTAGAAATTTAGTTTAATGATTTAATGTAATTAATGTATAGAAATAAAATTATATCACATATATAGCTACAAATAATGCATAAATAATTTATAAAATTAATGAACTAACCATACAATATAAATAATTCATCTCAATAATTTATTATAGTTGCATTGCATTGTAAAATCTTTATTGTACATAACAGATTAAACACTGGTAAATGATTTAATATACAATAGTTATGTTGAAAACAGCTGCTACCAGGCGACGATATCAAGTTTTGTTTATTTAATAAACGCTGTTTCAGTACCTTTCTAAAAATTTATTTGGGTGCATTTACTGGAATAAAAAGTAGCCTATGCCTATGTCTTTCCTCATCGCAAATACTAATATATAATAATAATCTACCAGAGGGAGACTTTGTACAAAAGTCGATTGCTTGGGCACCTCTGTCCTATTCGTGTTTCTACCGTGAAGCAGTTGTGTTTGAATGGCTGTGTTTCAGTTTGAAGGGTGGGATATGGCGTGAATTTACTGGGTACAGAGGAATAACACCTGAGTCCTCAGGAATGGTAACGCATGGGGGGGGGGGTATCATGGGCGAAACAGTATACTCTGTTATGTCCATGGTACTACTCATGTCTATAGGGGACGGTTATCACTTTCCATCAGTTTTACATCAGGTACGTCAGCTTGTTTGCCATTCTAAGTTGTATAAAAAAAAAACTAAGCGAATACCAAAATCCATAATAATTAGTTGAGCCCTATTTTTTTTTATGGATGATAATGGAATAGCAATCTCGCCTGCACTATCGGTCTTTACTGACGAGGCAATAGTGAGGGACGATATGTGAGGATAAAAGCAGGTCAACTGGTCTACTACGAAGAATTAATTGTTTGTTACAAGGAAGAAACTGTTTCTCAGATAAGATTTAATCTACTTTGCTTATTCACAGAAAGAGGGAAATTAATGGGCATCAATAATTTACAAAGATAATCTAACAGTCCATCTGATGAAAAGTAACATACAGATATACATATCTGTCACGTATGTCTCCCATTAGGGACCTATAGACACAAATATTACCATGAATGTCCAAGATATTATCAAGAGTTACCAATCGAACCACCGTGAACATCACAAAATACTTAATACTTGGCCTCCTCAAAGAAAGAAAGAAAGAAAGAAAGAAAGAAAACAAAATCACCGTATCTGAAGATTGAT